TTGTGATATTATTATTACTAAAAATCTTGAAAAATAATGTCTCTATTACTTTTTCTATCTTTTATTTTAAAAAATAATTTTTAATTATTTTACTAATGATGAAATTAATATATTTTTTACAGCACAAATAAATTATAAAAAGCTTTTTAAAGATATAAGTTGCACCATGATTCTTTTGATTTTTATATAATGTATCAAATAATGTATCAAATATTATACATTTTATATAATATATTATTTCCCAGGTATTACGCTTCGTTAACTTTCTTGTTAGACAATTACGTCTTGCATCAAGCGCATAAAAATCGTAAATAATAAATGCATATTCAAATTTTGATTATAATATTATTTATATAGAAAATTTGATAAATTTTGCATGCGAGAAGCGGACACAATCTAGCAGTAGTTTTCTAATTATTATATTTAATGACAAACGCAGAATTTTGTTCGATTTCTGTTGCCGATTTGCTGATAGATTATGCCAGCAGGCCTTATATACGATTTCTGTCACAATTTTGCCGTCACGAAGTGACAGCATGTTTGATTTTTGCTGTCAAATAATTTAATGTATAAAATTATGTGTTCATTACAGCTATTATAATTCATATAGGTAGACTGCTTATTGGATAGTCACGAAGTTCTCCGAATATTGTCGAAGATTCTTAGAATCTGAATTATTATTATTAGGCCTGCGCACAATGGAAGAAATATTAGGAATAGGAATAAATATTAAATATTAGGAATAAAAATTGGAAATAGAGATGAAACGTAACATACAATGGATACAAATAAGATATAAGACATTGATATATAGATATAATAGTGAAAAAAAGTTGAATCCGATTGCTCATATTGCTGATTGGCCCATTGTAAATATAAACCTTTTTGATTGGTCGTTCGTCGGAAAATTCCTAACATCACTGATGTACGCTATCGAGACTCATTGTAAAACTACTTTCTGTTCTAAATCTAATCAAAAGTATTTATATTATTTATATCTATAAAGAAAAATCTTGCTTTATTATTATGCTTATCTTTGGCTTTCCAAATAAGTATTGCAATTATATTGAAAAAAAAACAAAACATAAACAATGGAGAAACAGACGTTGGTGGGTTCGTCCATTAATTTGCAAAAAAATTATTTAGATGAGTTTTCAATCCTAATCGAAGAATTTAAAAATGATAAAGAGTTCTTCTTTCATTATACTCGGATGTCATTAGAAATATACAATGATCTTTTGAAAAAGATCCACATCTCCATTATTAACTAAAACAAGCTTAAGAAAGCCATTAACAACTCCAGAACAACGTTTATTAATAACACTAAGATATTTATTATTTTAATTTCTTATTTTATATATAATCAAATTATTTTTGATAAACATATATATATATATATATACACTTAATCATTTTTGTTAGATATATAACAAGTAGAGAATCCGTATTATCTATTGCTTTACATTACCGTGTGGGTGAATCTATTCGTACTATAATTATTGAAACTTGCTCAGTTATTATTGATATATTACCCATTTATTTGAAACAACCTAAGGAAGAAGATTGGTTTCGTATCTGTAAGAGATTTAGTCAGATTTGGAACATGCCCAATTGCACGAGAGCTGTAAATAGGAAGCATATTTTAATTCAAGCACTCCCCTAATTCTGGATCTCTTTATTTTAATTATAAAAAACATTTAAGCTTGTTCTTTTGACTGCATGTGATCATGCATATAAATTTACGTTGGTAGACATTGGAGCTTATGAAAGTGAAAATGATGGTGGAATTTTCAATAGATTAGAAATAGGTTAAGACATAAAAAATAATATCTTACATCTACCATCACGTCATGCTTTTTTTCCTGATATTAACATTAAAACAGCATATTATTTTGTCGGTGACAGTGCTTTTGAATTGTCTTGTCATGTAACGAAGCCTTTTCCTCGAAAACATCTTACTACAGAAAAAGAATATATAATTACAGAATATCACGTGCTAGATGTATGATTGAAAGTGCATTTTGGATTTTAGCTTCACGTTGGAAAATACTTTCAAAACCTATAAGAATGAATGTCGACAAAGTTGAAAGAATAATTGGGGCTTGTATGCCTCCACAATTTCATAATATCTATGCAATCTGAACGACCAGAAATAAACGAAAGATACGAAGCCAATGTATCGATATTGAAAATAATGAAAACAATATTATTATAACAAGGTCAACGGCGAGCAGCATACAATAATTTATTATCTATAGTACCTACTTCTATCCATCAAGATACAATTGAAGCTAATCAACATGATAATTTAGTTGCTTGGATGAACAGTTCACACGGTGAAATAATTTGGCAATACGATTACATTTCCAGGGGAAACATATGGAGACAACTTTTAATATTACTATTATTTATTAAACTTATGTTTCTTTTCTTTTTTTTTTTTGTATAAAAATGTATAACGTAAATAATAGTTTTAATAATAATTTCCTTTTATAATGATATTATATTTATGTGTAACACAAAATGTTTTATCTAATAATAAAACTGTTTCATAACAATATATCAATGTAAGAGTCCGCACAATAGAATAAATATTAGGAACAGAAATATTAAATTTTGGAAATAAAAATTCGGAATAAAAATTGAATACAACGTACAGTGAATATAAATAAGTATAAAATATAATTGTATTTTAAACTTACATGTATTCATTGTGCGTTACATTTAATTTTTATTTTGAATTTTTATTTTCATTATTCCAATTTAATATTTATTCTTATTCCTAATATTTCCTCCATTGTATGCAGGGCCTAACGCAAATAAAATATATATTTTAATGATAATAATGATTCTTAACATTATATCACAATATAACGCAAACAAAATATGTTTTTCAAGAAATGGTTTGTTGAATTAATGTCTAATTGATGTTGAAATCATAATTTTACAATGTAATTTCGATGATTTCGACATCAATTAAATGTTGATTCAATGAGTTATTTCTTGCTAAACTTATCTAATGATAATATTGTTTCATTATCTGTATAACACAAATGAAATATTTTATCTAATGATAATAGGCTTGTAATATCTATATATGCAAATAATCTGTAAAGCTTATAAATGATAATGATAAATGTTGTATATCTAAACAGCACAGAAGGTTAGAAAGAATTCATTTTTGTCATCAATTCTAAATTTATTTTCAGATGCAAAGAGAATTCTTTAGATGCAAAGAAGTCTTTTGCATCTGAAAATGAATTCAGAATTGGTAACATAAAAACATAATTCTAAAAAAATAATTATTATATTAATAGTAATAATAATGAATAATGTTACAAATTCATAATTTTAGCAAAAAATAGATTATTATTTTCTTTTATATATATGCTTGTTGATAAATGACATGTGTTCGTATAAATCTCATGGTTTGTTTTTATTAGATGCAGAACCACTTGGCATGTTTTCCTGTTTTTGTCTTTCCTTTGAATAGTATTGTCATAATCTAGATCATCGACCATTTACGCATTTCTTTACTGAAAAATATAAATGCTACACATTATCTGCAATACAGAATCTATATCACACATTCTAACCTCTAACATTTCTACAACTACTGATGATTTCTCATATTTTAATGCAATATAGAAAAGTCAAAGCAAACATTATTTGAATTTACTTTAATATATAAAATTATTTTTATTAAACAATATATTTACCAGATAAATGCATTACATTAGCTACTTCTTGCTATGAATTGTCACATTTATTTATGTCTTTATAA